CACCTAGAGGTGAAACAAAGTGGTGAAATAAAACTGGTGATAAATAGCATTTCACAAAATAATATTCTGCAAATTCAGGTTTCTAGAATAGCATGCACGCCCGAGAAACCATCCCTCATTTTTTATAAAATAATCACATTGCATTCAATCAACCAAGTATAGAATGCCATTATTTATATGCTCAATCTTCAATTTATACCAACAAAAATAGAAAAAACTTTATCAAGAATATTACTAATTATCGAGATTAGATAATATAATCATAAGATTCATCAAAGTAGCAATTACTTAAATACAGAAATGAAAGCATTAATTAAGAATAAAAAACAGTAGAACTGATAATAAGAGTGACTGCTCAAGGGTTTTGAAGAATGCCAAAGAGGTTTCTGTAATTTGTTTAATTAAAAGCATAAAAAAAATCATATAACCCAGAAATCCAGTTCCTGTCCAGAAAAAACTTGTGAAACTGGGAAACACATACTTGGGGGGAAGTTACAGAACGCATAAGTTGTAAAGATTAAAATGTTATAAATGAATACAAGGAAGAAAAACTGAGAGTGCAGGCGAGAGCCAAGGACGCTACTTTATGAGAAGTACTTGTCTGTCTGATTCTGATGATATGAAATCATCATTGTCCTGAGCTGCATACTGATTGGATCTGTCAGTCTGATGAGAATTTGGTAGCCTCATTAGTTCACGGCGCATTCCATTTACATTAGAAGTGCTTGTTATATCCAACTCCTTTCCAGCTACTACTGTTTTCTTCATGTTGCGCACCTATAACATAGCACAATCTTTAGGGGATCTGAAACTAATTCAACAACGCGGCTCAGTATGAAATATAACATCAATGATACCTGAGTACGAGCAGTGCTTGTCCATCTCCTCCTTTTGTCAAGTTCAACTTCATCAATCCCATACCAAGCAGGATCTCTAAGGTCGAATTTCATTCGGTGCTGTATTTCCAGGTAACAATTATTCAAGAAAACCACGTCACCAACCAATTCATTACGTTCCTTGTGAACTCCCACCTTATTCTTCAACATCAGCATTCTCTTCCACGTATATGCAATTGCCGAATGGTTCCTTCCTCCTTAGCCTACGTGAGGAAGACCAGAACAAATAGAACAATGAACAGAACAACCAAGAACAATATCATCATGATCTGCCCCTTAGCCCCAGCCTTCTTCATCACCACAGCTACCTTTTTCTGCAGCAAAAAATTGTTTTGAGAAACAAAAACAGAAAACTGCAATTCTATCTTTTATTATTGGGTTACTAATGAAACCATTTCATTCGTTAGAAATAAAAATAAAAAAATAACAGCTTAAGGCTTAACTTTAAAGTCACAGCTTGGACAGGATATATAATTACCTGAACGAAATCAAGGTGATTTGATGTGAGTTAATGTTTAAGCAATTATCCAATACAATGTACCTTGACTGGTGTGAGTGAAGTTTAAGCAAGTAATCCAATTCAAATCTGTGCATGAAAACAATCACCTGAACAAAATCAAGACGATTTGATGTACTCTCCATTTCCGTACCCAAATCATCTATAATCTTCTCCTGTGGCACACCATAAAAGACATGATTTAGTGTTCCTAATCAGCAAGAATAATGTTTAAAATCACTTTTGACTTGGTTCATATGCTATAACTACAGTTCGAGAAAGTGAATCATATGCAAGTGCTTGAGGAAGGGACAAGTGCAGGTAGGCCAGATTTTGCTGAGAACATTGCAGAGAATTACAGCCTAAACAATACTTACCTGTGCAAGGAGTTCTTCATGTATAGTAATCCCAACACCTCCAATTATCCCCACACTTGCGCTAAGCTCATCCAGCTCCTCATCCTGTTGCCTGCAGCACCAATGATCCAATTAATTGGCATCAAAATAAGAAAAATAATTGAAGGCTGCTCTATATCACCAAGAAAGTTTACCAAAACTTTTCACTTCCTAGGTGGTTTCCCATGTAGCATGGTCAATCTCATTCATTATTAAAAGTGTGGGTCCTACACATACACATGGCTTTCATTGTCTCAATACACCTAGAGGTGAAACAAAGTGGTGAAATAAAACTGGTGATAAATAGCATTTCACAAAATAATATTCTGCAAATTCAGGTTTCTAGAATAGCATGCACGCCCGAGTAACCATCCCTCATTTTTTATAAAATAATCACATTGCATTCAATCAACCAAGTATAGAATGCCATTATTTATATGCTCAATCTTCAATTTATACCAACAAAAATAGAAAAAACTTTATCAAGAATATTACTAATTATCGAGATTAGACAATATAATCATAAGATTCATCAAAGTAGCAATTACTTAAATACAGAAATGAAAGCATTAATTAAGAATAAAAAACAGTAGAACTGATAATAAGAGTGACTGCTCAAGGGTTTTGAAGAATGCCAAAGAGGTTTCTGTAATTTGTTTAATTAAAAGCATAAAAAAAATCATATAACCCAGAAATCCAGTTCCTGTCCAGAAAAAACTTGTGAAACTGGGAAACACATACTTGGGGGGAAGTTACAGAACGCATAAGTTGTAAAGATTAAAATGTTATAAATGAATACAAGGAAGAAAAACTGAGAGTGCAGGCGAGAGCCAAGGACGCTACTTTATGAGAAGTACTTGTCTGTCTGATTCTGATGATATGAAATCATCATTGTCCTGAGCTGCATACTGATTGGATCTGTCAGTCTGATGAGAATTTGGTAGCCTCATTAGTTCACGGCGCATTCCATTTACATTAGAAGTGCTTGTTATATCCAACTCCTTTCCAGCTACTACTGTTTTCTTCATGTTGCGCACCTATAACATAGCACAATCTTTAGGGGATCTGAAACTAATTCAACAACGCGGCTCAGTATGAAATATAACATCAATGACACCTGAGTACGAGCAGTGCTTGTGCATCTCCTCCTTCTGTCAAGTTCAACTTCATCAATCCCATACCAAGCAGGATCTCTAAGGTCGAATTTCATTCGGTGCTGTATTTCCAGGTAACAATTATTCAAGAAAACCACGTCACCAACCAATTCATTACGTTCCTTGTGAACTCCCACCTTATTCTTCAACATCAGCATTCTCTTCCACGTATATGCAATTGCCGAATGGTTCCTTCCTCCTTAGCCTACGTGAGGAAGACCAGAACAAATAGAACAATGAACAGAACAACCAAGAATAATATCATCATGATCTGCCCCTTAGCCCCAGCCTTCTTCATCACCACAGCTACCTTTTTCTGCAGCAAAAAATTGTTTTGAGAAACAAAAACAGAAAACTGCAATTCTATCTTTTATTATTGGGTTACTAATGAAACCATTTCATTCGTTAGAAATAAAAATAAAAAAATAACAGGTTAAGGCTTAACTTTAAAGTCACAGCTTGGACAGGATATATAATTACCTGAACGAAATCAAGGTGATTTGATGTGAGTTAATGTTTAAGCAATTATCCAATACAATGTACCTTGACTGCTGTGAGTTAAGTTTAAGCAAGTAATCCAATTCAAATCTGTGCATGAAAACAATCACCTGAACAAAATCAAGACGATTTGATGTACTCTCCATTTCCGTACCCAAATCATCTATAATCTTCTCCTGTGGCACACCATAAAAGACATGATTTAGTGTTCCTAATCAGCAAGAATAATGTTTAAAATCACTTTTGACTTGGTTCATATGCTATAACTACAGTTCGAGAAAGTGAATCATATGCAAGTGCTTGAGGAAGGGACAAGTGCAGGTAGGCCAGATTTTGCTGAGAACCTTGCAAAGAATTACAGCCTAAACAATACTGTCCTGTGCAAGGAGTTCTTCATGTATAGTAAGCCCAACACCTCCAATTCTCTCCACACTTGCACTAAGCTCATTCAGCTCCTCATCCTGTTGCCTGCAGCACCAATAATCCAATTAATAGGCATCAAAATAAGAAAAATAATTGAGGGCTGCTCTATATCTACCAAAACTTTTCACTTCCTAGGTGGTGTCCCATGTAGCATGGTCAATCTCATTAATTATTAAATAGTGTGGGTCCACCTAGAGGTGAAACAAAGTGGTGAAATAAAACTGGTGATAAATAGCATTTCACAAAATTATATTCGGCAAATTCAGGTTTCTAGAATAGCATGCAGGCCCAGTAACCATCCCTCATTTTTTATAAAATAATCACATTGCATTCAATTAACCAAGTATAGAATGCTATTAATTATATGCTCAATCTTCAATTTATACCAACAAAAATTTTTAATTTTTTTTTATCAAGAATATTACTAATCATCTAGATTATATAATAAATGGAGAAGAATCACTTGCCGAATTTCCATTTGCCAGCTTTTTACACTCAGTATGTTCTTGCTTCTATCTTGTTTTGATTTTGGTCTATAAATTTATGGGCATGGTTTTTCTTATATATGTAATTTCGTGTGATAAATTGGACATATCCTAGGTCTACCATGTTTTTGTTATGATGCCTTGTAACTATCTAATGTTACTCATCCTTTGTCACCATCACTATTCAATATTCATTAAGGTATAGATCCATGGCTGTCTTTGTACACAGCTAGAGTCAATGTGGAGATTTTATCTAGTATTTTCTATTTGTGTTTCATGTGATATTTTTTTTTATTAACTTACCTATTTTTCATGTTTTGGAATTTTGATTAATAAGACTAGGTGGTTTGTTTCATGTGTGAAGTTCTACAGTCAAAGAAGAGTGAGGATTCCTAATAAAAATGAGAAATGGAAACTATATCACTTAGATGACCATCCCTCGATAACCTTCTCTCTCTCTCTCTCTCTCTCTCTCTCTTGTTATTTTCTTAAAGGTTTTCCTTTCCTTTTTGTTGTTTAGGTCTAGACCTAGGCCTGCCCCCCATGGTTGGTTTTAATCAAAGGCACATAACAAATCATGGGATTAGCTTTTGGAGTTTAGTTTGGTTTATAATTATATGCCTCCTGTAACTGGATTGGGGCAGTTAGCATCAAGGTTGTTAAAACCGGGATTCTATGTAGGATCGGTGAGAGGGTTTCATGGATCGAATTGAGGATCGTAAGATTCTAGTTTATATTAAAAATAAGGTAAAAATACAAATTAGGATGATACATGTTAAAATTAAGGTGAAAACACAAATCCAACTATTCTGTTTACGATCCTATATGATCCTACTTCTAATCTTACTGTAACACTGATCCTACAACGATTTGGATCGTTTTAACAATTTAGGATCGTAGGATCCTATGATCTGGATTGCGATTTTGATAACCATGGCCACCATGCACTTCATCAGAATTGCTCAAACTTTTGCTCCTTGAAGCTTTTCACAATGAATTTCTTTGAACATGACTCAAATATGCTTTTAGAACCATGGTAGTAACAGAATATGTTACATAAGGAGAATCTGACTTAGTGTCACATGTTGGTCTTGCAGAAAAGGCGACATTGTGTGTGGCATTATCTAGACACCCACCATGGTGTTTGCAAAGGCAAGCAAACACTAAAAAGTAAACTTGTGGGTCGAGGAGTGTCAACCATTAAGCACTAGACTAGCTTGCAAGCAAAAACACGTATAAGACCCGAGCGACGATGAAATGAAGCATTTTATGCATCTTCTTGAGCTATTACAATGCACAATAGAAGTTACTATTAATGTCCTACACATCTACTCCTACATTACAATAAAGGCCAAGGTAGTCTAGTTCATCACTTGGGTATCCCTTTAAAACAGCTTTTTAAGCCATTAGCAATCTTAGGAGGAAACATAAAAAAATACTGCTATGGTTGAGCATGCATGGGCGCTGGCAACTGGCGCAACTGTGTGCACACAGCAAGGGTGCTGGGAGTGTGCACCATGTGGTTCATTGTGCACTCGCTCCTGACGACTGGCGAAAGACCCGGTCATATGCTCCATAGTACTAAGAGATCAATTCACTTCTTCTGAGATGGCAAACTAAATGTTAATTGAATAGAGATGTCAGTTATCGACAAAGAAAACCAATACCGGTGTCAACTGTGCTGGTCACTTCACTAAACTGAGGCTCTGATACCAATTTGTCACTGTTGGCTTTGAGGAATGGGCAAAGTCGTGAATGGTACTAGCTAGACAACCTAACTAATCTGCCAAATGTCACAGTGGTGTTTGCAACAGCAAACAAATACTAAAAAATAAACATGTGGCCCAATGAGCGTCAACCAACAAACCAAAGACTAGCTAGCAAGCAAACCTGTATGAGACCTGAGTGATAATAAAATGAAGCATTTTATACATCTTGTCGAGCTATTACAATGCACAAAAGAAGTTACAAATTAATGCACTACATCTATTCTTGGGGTGTAATAGCTATTTAGGTCATTAACAAATTGGCAAGAGGGAACATCAGAAATACTTCTACGGCCTGGATGCACAGGGCCTGGGCAACTCGTGCAGATGCGCACGCAGCAGGGGTGCTGGAGTTGATTGCGGGTGTGGTGTTGGGCCCTGAGTGCAAATTATGTGAGCTGGTGTGTGCCCATTGGCAGGCACTGGGCCCTGGGCGCATAGCTTGCAGCAGGGTGCCTGGACATGTGCAGCACTCTGGTTTGTCGTGCTGTCCTGCTTATGGGCACTGTGCAAGGGCCATAGTTGACTAGAGAGGCAAGGTGTTGGCCGTTGGATAGGCGCACCTTGTCATTGAGTCATGCATCAGAGTTGATTGTTGTTGAAAAGAATCTGATTGTGTGGAGTGTACGGTGTATGGTTACAGAACTAACCACGGTTTTTTTTCTTTTTTTCTCAAGCAGTGATACCATCATATCAATTTTACTTCCTAGTGCTGAATTTTTGCTTTATTATGAATTTCAGAAAGCTTAAATTGCTTCATGCAGAAATCTTCAAGATAATGTCATATCATGTGCTCTGACAATCAGGAAGTACCTTGACATGAACATATAAGATTTTGTTATGAAATTTGTACGCCACAAGACTATTGTAGGCACTACATTCTTTTTGGCGTCCAGATGTTTTACCTATTTTTGGATGTTTAACTTGGATTGTAGGTTGAAACAGCAGCAGGTTCAGAACCACTCTTGTCATTGCTTGCACCACTTGATTCTGGATTACAACATTCATATTCATATTGGAAAGCTCCTCCTAATACCTCCTGTGTTGAATTTGTTATTGTTCTTGGTGATCTTTCTGATGTTTCGGGGGTGGTCCTACTCATTAGTCCCTGTGGCTATTCGATGTCTGATGCTCCAACTGTAAGTACACCTATCTTTACCAAGCTGCTTCTTGTTAAATGAATATCAGCTGACAAAGCTCTGTATCTCAATGCATTTATGAGAAGCAAAAAACTAACAATTGATGTTTATGTATTATCTTGAACTATAAATGTTTTGTTGGATGTGGTCTACTTCTCTCAAATTGCTGTTTTAGGGTTTCCAGTTTGTAGATGCATGTCTGAGAAAACGTCATTTTTAGAGTTCTATTTCAGACAAAATATTTTATAACTTTTCCTAATCCTTGTTCAACAAGAAATTAGGTTCAGAAATTCTTAGGATATATTTAAGGAAATTGTTTTATGGCTTATGAGATAGAAGTGTTTGTAAGGCTCTTGAAAGTGTGTGGTTTCTTTGTAACTATTGTGAGCTGTCTCTTCTCATCCATGATGAGAGGCAGGATTATTGGACAACAGTAAATAGTGTTTTTGTGCAGGACTCTTCATAGCTGCTCAAGTTCCTCAACCATCTGTCTTGGTTTAATTGCAATGAGATATCAAATCTTTTTCAACGTAAACTTTTTCATATAATTTTGTATATTCCTGAGTGACAAATTTCTTCAAGAAATGAGTGGAATCAAGATATTTTCGTTCAAATTTGTTTTGTTTTGAGCTACAAAGCTATCTTTATTTTATTGCGTAGGAGCTACAGGTTCTTTCAAGAGCATTATTCTATGATGCATTAAGTATAGTATGGTTTCTTATCAGTGCCCTGCTTTCTATTTTGTACAAGTTTTGTTTGGGATCATGGTCTTCTTGTATTTCAAATAAGTGGTTCAAATTATATGTATGAAATTTCCACTTATTTGTAACTGTAGCATCTGTGCCTGACCAAACCCAGTTTGATTGCAGTAATTCTTTTTTTTCTCTTTTATTTTCCTTTTGGATTTCCCATTCAAATCATCTGCGTTAGTTTATATGGTTATAACGTGAAGCCTAGTTTCCAACCATGTTCTTAACAATTCCCATCCATGATACAATTCAAATGATGCAAGTATCGTCCCAATACTGGCCAATCAAAATATAATGTAATCACACAAAATCTTATTTTGAATTGAGGAAGATTTATCTTTCTTTAACTCCATATAGGCCTTCATCACCATTTCTTGCACACGCATCGTGTGTGCTACGGCTTCAAGTATATATATATTTCCTTGTATTATTCATGTTACTGACGGAAACTATTAGTTTCCGCAGTAAATTCTGGTTTCACCACTTTTTGTCGATGAGTTCCTCTTTATTGTTAGTGCAGGTGCAAATTTGGGCCAGCAATAAAATACACAAGGAAGAAAGATCATGTATGGGGAAATGGGATGTTCACTCCCTGATCGCATCTTCCTCGGAGCTTTGCAGAACTGAAAATTTGGCTAAATTGGATACAGTTCCTAGGCATGTAAAGTTAGCCTTTAGAAATCCTGTTCGATGCCGTATCATTTGGATAACACTACGCCTTCAGAGAACTGTTTCAAGTTCTGTTAATTTTGAGAAAGACTTTAATCTTTTGTCACTAGATGAAAACCCTTTTTCACAACTTGATCGACGTGCCTCTTTCGGAGGGCCAGTTGAAAGTGACCCATGTCTTCATGCCAAAAGAATTCTAGTGGTTGGAAGCCCTGTGAGAAAGGATATGGGGCTTACATCACCACAGGGCTCTGACCAGATAAATTTTAGAAGCTGGTTGGACAAAGCTCCACAGCTAAATAGATTCAAGGTGCAATTAGTGCTTTTATCAATGTTCAGTCTCAGTCATTAGGTTTGCTATAAATTTTTAATTCCTTTAATAATCTTTTTCAGGTCCCAATAGAGGCTGAGAGGTTAATGGACAATGATCTTGTCTTGGAACAGTATCTATCACCAGCTTCACCTTTGCTGGCAGGATTTCGTCTCGATGGTTTCAGTGCAATAAGGCCTCGAGTCACCCATTCACCTTCTTCTGATGTAAATATGTGGAATATGCCATCATCATATTTAGAAGATAGACATATATCCCCAGTTGTATTGTATATCCAAGTATCTGCTCTCCAGGTACTCACAATGCCCACTTTATTATACTTCTATGTCATTCATTTACCTTTTGAACTAATTGGATCTGTGTCCCTATTTTGATTGGGTTTTTCACTTGTTCAAAGCTCAATACCTTAATATGCAATATTCGGAAGCATGAGCAAATCAAGGTGACTATTTGCGTGATCCTGGTGCTATCTTTTAGTTTCACCCATTTGTGCAAAACCAAAAATAGTTGTTTTGGCTCTAGGCAATCACCTTGGGTAAGGCTAGGATTTTTTAGGTCCTTCAAAAGTGTTGAGAATGAGATAGTTTTAGTGATCTTTATGTAAGCAGGACATGAAAGCTATTTTTGCTTACTAGGCAAAAGCTAGATAAGTCTCTTACTTTCTTCTCATGTATGTATTCAGGATTCCTATTGACTCCAGTTGCTTTACTAGTTTTGTTGTTAAATTGGCATGTATTAGTATATATTTTGCACGCTCTCCTGCTTCTAAGTACCTAAGCCTTAAAAAATTGTTGTTAAAGTAGCATTTGTACTGATCAAAGAGATTTTGATCATAGGATGCACTAATCCCCATCTAGTTAAAGAAACTGTATCTCTAGCACTGTGATTATTCGAGATTGAGTTGGTCTTCATCTCATTATGAGACTATAGAATATTAAAAAACTGGAGCTGCTGCATTCCTCCCAGAAACAGCAGAAGCATAGGTTTTTTGTTAAAAGTTGCACGCATGGTGATCAAACAGCTTTGACAGTAAGACCCGACAGTCTTCTAGTTAGAGGAAGTGTACCCCAAGATTTAGTTGATCTTCATCTCATTATTATGGTCTAAATAGAATCCTAAAAACTGGATTTAATAGTCCATTTTGGAAATAGCACAAGCATTGCAGCATCAAGGTGAATGCTTGTGATTAAATGCAAAATTATGCAGAATTGTGAGAGATGGGCATAAGAATATTTTAAAGAAATTCTGGTTTTATAATCAAAGCACATCAATCACAGAGGGAGGAGAATTTAGAAGTAAAGCAAGACAAAGTGGGTGATAAGAAAAAATAGAGGATGAGAGGAAAACAAAAGAGAGAAGAGGAAGACATCTCAAAATATGTGTCTCTGTGTGGGGGAGAGAGAGATTCTTACTGGCACCTGGTGTAGCACCAAGGAGGAGAAAAAGGAGAGAAAATGGGAACCAATCCCAAATCAATAATGCAATAATCTATATCCAAAAGCATACTGTATCAAGTCTCTTAAAACTATTACATAACAACGTATTTATAGGCAACTAAACTAAAGAGAAATCCCACAAGGAAACAAAATCTCAATACAATTTTAATGAATATTATCAATGTTTATATGAATTATAGAAAGGATGTCTTAAGAACGATCTAATCTTCTATACTTAGTATCTTATACATATAATTGAGACCAAGTTCATACTAGTTTCTGCTTTCTTAATTGACTTTCAGGCTTGAGTACTTCAATTTGAATCGTAACTTGGAAAATATATACATTTTACAGGAACCTCATAACATGGTTACCATTGCGGAGTATCGTTTGCCAGAGGTTAAGACTGGGACGGCAATGTATTTTGATTTTCCTAGACTAATTCAAAGCCACCGAATTTCATTCAGACTTATTGGAGATGTTGGCGCATTCACAGATGACCTGGCAGAACAGGATGATTCTGAGTTTAGACCCCTGCCATTGGCTGCCGGGTTGTCTTTGTCAAATAGAGTCAAGTTGTATTATTATGGTGATCCTTACGAACTCGGAAAATGGGCCAGCCTCTCAGCTATTTGATTTGTTTTTGCTCGAAGAATAGGGCTCGTGAACTTGGATGCAATTGGTTTTGTAGTTTTTGTCAAATTTCATATTCTTTGTTGTAATTTAGAAGTTCGTTTGATAATGAATTTCATTAAAATGTTGAAATTTCAATATAGACTTTCTTCTACATAGTAGGAACCAGTTTCCTCGATGGCCTTTGTTTTTAGTTTTTGAAACATTGTTCTGCTACTTTTGTTTTCGGTTTAAACCTCTTCACCTCATTAAAAGGTCAAATGCTCCAGTTTTGTCACTAACAAGACTTGCTCATCCCCTAGCTATGCCGCAAATGTATATATATGTATAAGGAAAAAAGAAAAAAAAAAAAATTTGCTATTTCCAGTTACATTTGCAGCAAGAACAAGACTGGTTGTAATTGTCCATAAGTAGTCTTTAGTTCATGCGTGTCTGTGTGTGAACATATAATTGAATCTGGAGTGATGAATACAAGTTTCCATCTTGAATTGGCTTTTAATAGAGGTGGCAAACTTAACCTGAATTGCATCTATTTAATCTCTATTTAAATTTGCTTAAATCTATAAATGAGTTGTATTTTTGCAAAGCCAATTAAAATTGAGTTTATATGAGTTGGATATGAGTACCCATTTAAACTCATCACCACCCAACTCATTTAAACCTATCTAAATCTATTATGAACTGGTTTAAATGGTTTGCATTTTGTAAATTCAATTAAAATTGGACTTAAATGACATTTATGTGTACAAGTTTTAACTCATACCACCTTCACAATTCCATGATACTCACCTCCAGCAAACCCACCATTGCTGCTGCCACCTCTACCAGCATCATCATTGTCGTTGTCGCCTCCACCACCATCTATCGAGAAAAAAATTGATAAGGTAAACAAGTTGGTTGAGTTCATTTTTCCAACCCATTTCGAATTCAACTCAACTTACTTAAACTCGATTATTAAATATTCAAATTTGGATTGTGTTGTTTTAAACTCATTTTGATCTGTCTGAACTCCTCTGTTTTTCACCTCTAACTCTAAGTATAAGCACTCCCAAATCACAAGGTTAATGTTTGATTGAGATGAATGGGAAGTCCTGATATTCCCACATCTTAGTATATAAAATGACCTATTTTAAGAATCAAGATTAAATTGTATATTAAGAAAATCAAACCAAGTTGTAAGATTTGATTTGGATCAAACCAGTTTACGAATTTTTTGCTCAACCCTACAAAGCATATATTATTTAAAAGTAAAGCATTTTGAAGATAATCACATAACTAATTTTAGAAGTCCATTTTAACAGTAGGGTCTTCATTTAGAAAAAGGAGCAAAAATAGAAGAATCATAAAAGAACAAGGAACCTGATTTTTTGGAAAAATTTCCTGCACATTTTCCTAATTAATTAGATATGCTTAGTTGTATTCATCTGGTATTTTAATGAAACATTGATATCTAAGGACTCAAATTTCAGTTTGCTGTTTTGTCAACTACAAAACTATAAAGCCAACATCAACCTCATACATAGATATAGGAAAAAAATCTCTTATCAGTTAAATTTTCGACTGAGCCGGGGGTCACAAAGTCTTCATAATAACATTTCTTCCACACTATCAGAAATTGTCATTGTTCATCTATTCACAAACCTAGCAAACATGATTCAGCTAAATGACAACCACAACACTAGAAGAAACAGAAGATTTCAGTCAACCATTTTCTCCCAACAAAAAAATTATATTGCAAAACTATAACAGTGAGAGACTTAACTCTTGGAACTGGCAAGCATGACAAGCAACTCATGAATGCTTGTACAAATAAAATAGAAAGTCAAACACATGATCCTATTTAACATCTCATATATTTAGTACTCAAATCTGTTCAAAATCACAAACAACCCTACCTACACCACTTCCTGAAACAAAACCAGAAAATATTTTATATTTATATATATATATATATAAACACTACCAAAAAGGTAGAATTTCATTCTGTGCAGTATTTCCATGTAACAATTATTCAAGAAAACCACGTCACCAATCAATTCACTACGTTCCTTATGAACTCCCACCTTATTCTTCAACATCAGCACTCTCTTCCACATATATGCAATTGCCGAATGGTTCCTTCCTCCTTAGCCTACGTGAGGAAGACCAGAACAAATAGAACAATGAACAGAACAACCAAGAATAATATCATCATGATCTGCCCCTTAGCCCCAGCCTTCTTCATCACCACAGCTACCTTTTTCTGCAGCAAAAAATTGTTTTGAGAAACAAAAACAGAAAACTGCAATTCTATCTTTTATTATTGGGTTACTAATGAAACCATTTCATTCGTTAGAAATAAAAATAAAAAAATAACAGGTTAAGGCTTAACTTTAAAGTCACAGCTTGGACAGGATATATAATTACCTGAACGAAATCAAGGTGATTTGATGTGAGTTAATGTTTAAGCAATTATCCAATACAATGTACCTTGACTGCTGTGATTTAAGTTTAAGCAAGTAATCCAATTCAAATCTGTGCATGAAAACAATCACCTGAACAAAATCAAGACGATTTGATGTACTCTCCATTTCCGTACCTAAATCATCTATAATCTTTTCCTGTGGCACACCATAAAAGACATGATTTAGTGTTCCTAATCAGCAAGAATAATGTTAAAAATAACTTTTGACTTGGTTCATACGCTATAACTACAGTTTGAGAAAGTGAATCATATGCAAGTGCTTGAGGAAGGGACAAGTGCAGGTAGGCCAGATTTTGCTGAGAACCTTGCAAAGAATTACAGCCTAAACAATACTGTCCTGTGCAAGGAGTTCTTCATGTATAGTAAGCCCAACACCTCCAATTCTCTCCACACTTGCACTAAGCTCATTCAGCTCCTCATCCTGTTGCCTGCAGCACCAATAATCCAATTAATAGGCATCAAAATAAGAAAAATAATTGAGGGCTGCTCTATATCTACCAAAACTTTTCACTTCCTAGGTGGTGTCCCATGTAGCATGGTCAATCTCATTAATTATTAAATAGTGTGGGTCCACCTAGAGGTGAAACAAAGTGGTGAAATAAAACTGGTGATAAATAGCATTTCACAAAATTATATTCGGCAAATTCAGGTTTCTAGAATAGCATGCAGGCCCAGTAACCATCCCTCATTTTTTATAAAATAATCACATTGCATTCAATTAACCAAGTATAGAATGCTATTAATTATATGCTCAATCTTCAATTTATACCAACAAAAATTTTTAATTTTTTTTTATCAAGAATATTACTAATCATCTAGATTATATAATATAACTCCGTTGGGATTGTTTAACAATTCCGTCAGACCCAAACCCAGGTAAAGAAAGAGCGTTGTGTGTTAGGTAGCCAACAACCAACACATAAAAAAGCTACGTGGATCTCTTATGAAAAAAAATCCTACTTCGAATCGATTAAATGTTAGGTCGTTCTCTTTAAGTGACGCATTGCACTTGCTTCCAAGTATTTCAAAAAGTGGGCAAGGGTACCCACATTAACGCTTGGGTGCGGTGAAAATGGGAAAAGGTTTCTGCGTTTTTCTGAACGAGCACGGATGAAGAAGTTAGTCCAAGACTATAGGTTTAGGATAGTCACATGGAATGTAGGAACTTTAACACGTAAGACTATGGAATTGGTAGGTGTTATGATTAGGAGCAGAGTTAGTATAGCTTGCGTACATGAAGCTAAATAGACGCGTGAGAAAGTTAGGGAAATAGAGGATACCGATTTTAAACTATATATAGTGGCAATGATAGACACAGGAATGTCGTAGGAATAATAGTTGCCAAGGGTCTTGTAGAAAATGTAGTTGCAGTTATTAGGAAAGGTGATAGAATTATGTTAGTTAAACTAGTTATTAGAGAGAATATAGTGAACGTTATTAGTGCGTACGCTTCCCAAGTAGGATTAAATGACCAGACTAAGAGAGATTTTTGGAACCAAATGGATGAGGTATCACATGAGATACCTGTAGAAGAGAATCTTGTTATAGGTGGTGATTTCAACGGCCATATAGGAATAGATAAACTAGGTTATGAGAGGGTGCATGGTAGGTATGGTTTTGGTGATAGAAATAAGACTGGAGAGAGTATTTTTAGACTTTGCATTAGTTTCTGACCTAGTGGTGGCCAATATTATGTATAAGAAGAGTGGAGTATTTGATAACCTTTAAGAGTGGGTCAATCAGGAGCCAAATAGATTATTTTCTAGTAAGAAAAGTGGACCGTCTAAAATACAGCGACTATAAGGTGATTTCTGGAGAGGGCCTGACATCTCGACATAGGATTTTGGTACTAGATTTATGCTTTAAAGGGAAATACAAAGCTAGGAAGGATAGTGGGCATCGTAGGATGAGATGGTGAGACTTAAAAGGGGATAAACTAAAAATATTTAAGAATGGAATGGATGAAAAAGGTACTTGGGACTTGGAAGATGATGCTAACACTATGTGGAACTCGATGACCAATTGTATGGGGGAGAAAATTGGTGGTGGAGGGATGAGGTTCAAGCCCTTGGAGAGTCGAAAGGAAATGGACCCAACTCTAAGGAAACTTGGTGGTGGAGGGCTAGGGTTCAAGCGGTAGTAAAGACGAAAAAAGAGTACTGTAAAAAGTGGCAGAAGGATAAAACTGAAGAAAACCTTAAGAGTTACAGATTGACTAATAAGGAGGTCAAAAAAATAGTGATAGGATAAATTGAAAGTCTATGATGACCAAACACTAGACTAGATGGTAAGGAGGGACAGAAGAGAATATACAAACTTGCTAAGATAAAATAAAGGAAAACAAAATATTTTCATTAAGTTAAGTGCATCAAGAGTGAGGACTCCAAGGTGTTGGTAAAGGATGAAGAGATTAAGGAGGTGGAAGAACTATTTTGAGAAGTTGTTAAATGAGGAACATTTTGAGAAGTTAAATGAGGAACATGGATGAATGTCAAAAGGGGAGGAAGTAGCCAATGATAAGGAAAACCAAGACTATAGGTTCTAAGATTGACTTGAGGTCAGGCTATTACTAGTTGAAGGTAAGGGATGATGATGTTCCCAAGACTGCTTTTAGAACCTGTTATGGGCATTATGAGTTCTTGGTGATGCCTTTTGGTCTCACAAATGCACTAGCCGCGTTCATGGATTTAATGAACAGAGTATTTAAACCCCAGATGGATAAATTTGTGGTGGTGTTTATTGATAACATCCTAATTTATTCGAGGAGTCAGGAGAAGCATGAGTAGCATTTGGAGGTAGTACTGCAGATCCTCAAGGAGAAGAGACTGTATGCAAAATTTAAGAAGTGTGAATTCTAGTTAAGTAGTGTATCCTTTTTGGGTCATGTGGTGAGTAAAGATGGGGTATCTGTGGATAGCACGGAGGTGGTAGCAATTTTTGATTGGCCACGACCTACTTCTGTGACAGAGCTACGTAGCTTTCTAGGGCTTGCTAGATATTATAGACGGTTTGTGGAAGGATTCTCCCCGTATTACTTTGCCACTTACCAATCTCACTAGGAAAGGGGTAAAGTTTGAGTGGAATGATGATTGTGAGCGTAGCTTCCAAGAGTTTAAACAGAGGTTGACATCAGCTCCAATCTTTGCCTTACCTACAAGTGGGGATGATTTTTGTGATTTATGAGTGATGCTTCACGACAAGGTTTAGGATGTGTGCTTATGCAGCATGGGAAAGTGATTGTTTATGCGTCACAACAATTGAAAGTACATGAGAGAAATTATCCTATGCACGAATTGGAGTTAGCGACAGTGATTTTTGCTCTTAAGATTTGGCGACATTATTTGTATGGAGAGTCATGTGAGATTTACACTGATCATAAGAGTTTGAAGTATATTTTCACATAGAAGGAACTAAATTTGAGGCAAAGAAGACGGCTTGAGTTGTTAAAAGATTACAATGTGAATGTTTTGTATCATCTATGAAGGAAAATGTGGTGGTAGATGCATTGAGTAGGAAAGTCGCAGTTGGAGATGTAGTTGCTTTGTCTATTGAGAGTGGTTTAGTGGAAGACATGAGATGTTTGAGGCTTGAGGTTGTTACGCCTGGTGATAGGGCTTATTGTTACGCCTGGTGATAGGGCTTATTGTAGTCAATTGACAGTTCAACCGACCTCGAGAGAACGGATTCGTTTGGCTCAAGAGATTGACCCCCAGTGTGAGCGTAGTAAAGAAGAGATGGCAGAGGTTAAGCATGTAGACTTTGTAGTTAGTGATGATGGGTTGCTTAGATTCCATAGCCGAGTTTGTGATCCTGCTGGTGGTGATTTGAGGAAGGATATTATGACAGAGGCACATAGTTTTGGTTATAGCATTCATCCTAGATGCACTAAGATGTGTCGGGATCTTCATGAACATTTTTGGTGGAATGGTATAAAGGGAGATATTGCAGAATTTGTGGCTTAGTGTTTGGTGTGTCAACAGGTTAAAGTAGAACATCAGAAATCCACGGGGAAACTACAACCCTTACCTGTACTAGAGTGGAAGTGGGATCATATTACCATGGACTTCGTGTGTGGATTACCTCGTCCTAGTAGTAATTACGATGCAGTATGGGTAGTTGTTGATAGATTAACCAAGTCAGCACATTTTATTGCAGTACGGATGAACTATTCTCTAGGTCAATTTGCACAGCTGTATATGAAGGAGATTATTACATTGCATGGTGCACCTGTGTCAATAATGTCAGTTCGGGACCCTCGTTTTGTGTCTAAGTTTTGGGGTGCGTTGCAATCAGCCATGGGTACTCAGTTAAATTTTAGTTCAGCTTACCACCCTCAGACAGATGGGCAATCGGAGAGGACTATTTAGACTCTTGAGGATATGTTGAGGGCTTGGGCTTTGGAGTGGAGAGGTAATTGGGATGATTATTTGCCACTCATGGAGTTTGCGTATAATAATAGTTATCATTCTAGTTTGGGAGTAGCTCTTTATGAGGCTTTGTGTAAGAGGAAGTGTAGGTCTCCTTTGTGTTGGTATGAGGTTGGTGAGAGGCAAATGTTGGGAGTTGATTTGGTGGAAGATGCTACACAGAAAATTATCACCATTAGAGAGAGATTATTGACTACTTAGAGTAGACAAAAATGTTATACTGATCATCGTAGGAGAGATTTAGAGTTTCATGTGGGGGATACGGTATTCTCGAAAGTATCACCATGGAAAGGAGTCATCAGGTTTGGAAAGAAAGGAAAGTTGAGTCCTAGATATATTGGACCATTTAAGGTATTAGAGAAGGTTGGTGAGGTTGTATACCATGTTGTTTTACTCCCTAGGTTGGCAAGAGTGCATAATGTATTTCACGTGTCTATGCCGAGGAAATATGTGCATGGTACATCGCATGTGATAGATTATAAGCCGCTTCAGATCAGAGAGGATTTTTCGTATAAGGAGATGCCTGTTCAGATATTGGATTCGAAAGAGAAAATGTTGCGTACAAAGGCCATTAAATTGGTTAAGGTACTGTGGCGTAATCGTCTAGTCGAAGAGGCGACTTGGGAACGCGAGAACGAAATGCGCGAGAAGTACCTACATCTATTATCATGATTTACTCAGGTTAGTTTCGAGGACGAAACTTTTCTTTTAGGGGGGAGAATGTGAGAACCCGAATATACAAATAAAATAAATAATTAAATAATAATTATTTTACAAACCTTAAATATTTTACTTGTGAATCTTAAGGTGCAAATTAAATATTACTGAACAATCTTTTAATTAATTTTAAACCTAAAATAAATTTATGGTGAAAGTCTTTAATTTGGAGCTAAGCTTTATTATTTAAAAAAAAAAAAATAGGGGACAAGCTAGTAAGTATATTTTGATATAATAATAGTTATATTTTATTTAAATTAATGGTGAGAGGAAAAAATAATATAAAACAAAGGATAATTATTTAGAATTTTGTTTAGATATATATAACAACCCTAGGGTTCCTAACAATACTATAGCAGCAACAGCAGTAGCACTGTGAGAGAGGAAGAGAGAGCATGAGATAGAAAAGAGAGAGGGAGAGAGAGCACCTTTGTGGCTCAACAACTCTAAGGTAACAATAAATTTATTCTTGTTCTATTATAGTATGTTGTTTACATAGTTATGGTGCATGTGGGTGTTGTAAGTTGTTGGAAGAAAAAGAAACGGTTTGGCTAATTGGGATAGTGTTGTGTGTGTATATTATTATCATGCAAAATTTTAAAGCGAATTAAGGAGCTAAAGTCGTTGGATAAGAATTCTGCACAAAATCACAAACTTTAAAAATCGAGGAATCATATCAAACGGATGAATTTTGAATTGAAATTGTTACAGTAGATTAATTACATATTGAACCCCATATCAGAATTTTCTCATAATTTTTGGGCGTCAAAATCTATATTAACTGTTGCATTCAAATCTGCCCAAAAAACTAGTGTAACACAGTAATTTCGGAAGTGTCGTTCTCTTTGGGTATAAATTTGAAAATTATCAAATCAGCGTCATTAGAACCAGTTACGAGTCTAGTTTCTTAAATTTTTGGCCTTGTGTTGATTTCTTGTGTATACTAAGAGAACCATTAATTTATTTAAAGTACTGCAGAAAACAACCTGTTTGGATATAATTAATTGTAAATAATTATTTTGATAAGCAAATCAAGTAAAACCAATTGGGTTTAAAACTTAGGATATATTAGTTGATATCGGGAGGGTTTTTGAATTTTTCTAATAGCGTGGAGTGGGTTTTTAATTTTCAAAGTTAGCGAATAAATTGGGAAACTTGTTTATAATTCTGTTTTCATCGTAAAGTTACTTTTAATTAAGTTTCGATTTGAACCCATGTCTTGGGTAATTTTAGACATTGAAGAACATGAACATAGGTATTATTTAAGAGTAAAGGTGAGTGGGGTTGAGCTGTGTTAGTGCGTTTTAGTCTGGGCCACTTAGTTTGTTATTTCTTTTAGTATTTTTGCATTAATAGTGACATGTAGTTTTCATACTTGGTTCAAGGCACTAGTTGGACTTTTATACTCTATTCGAGGATTACATTATTCCGTTTTTATGTGAGTAGTTTCACGCTACATATTTTTATAAAGGTTCTCCTACTCTGAACTGTTGGAAAATTAAATTGTTGTTTCATGACTAAACTGTTTTGATAAATTATTATAGTATCAATGGAATTAAATTATTTCTAAACTATGTGTAAACTTGGCATACTGTAAACTATTTGTTATGGTCTCATGTTTATAATGGTGAACTACTATATTTTGCGAAACTAAATTGTATTGATTATTAGGACCATCTATATATAAAAGTCCAAGGAATTTATTCCATTGTGTGTGGCGACTCTGGCCACTAGGGAACAGATCCGGGTTGGGCTGTGATGACTCTAGTGCTCAACAATTGTAAAGAAAAGACATGGGCTATGCTAGGTGACCTTCAATCGGATCGTCTTAGAGAAAAGGCCCGGGTTGCCACCCTGATGATGACTCTTGTTTCGATATTAGATCCAATAGGCTTATTGCCTTGAGAACTTCGTGGCATGTTACTTGTTATTCTTGGTACCCAGAAAATTATTGGTGATCATATTGTAATCTGTTTTAAATGGAGAATGTCATTTATTATGTTCTTGAGAGACATGAGTATTTTAGCTGTTGAACTGTGGAACCTTTTTTTTGAAACAGATTATCTTTATCAAAACTGTATGCCAATTTAGTTTTTGTGATATATATATTATTTTGGAATTGAACCCTATTTTCAAAACTGTATTTTATTATCCATGTTGCTACTCACTGAGCTATCAGCTGACTTAGTTGTTTATCACTTCCAAGTGTTAGAAGGACTTAGAGTGGACTCATGGCGTAGAGGGGACTCAATTGCATGGACCGCTAGGACATTCATTATTTTGTTTTAGCTTGTTATGTCAGTTTTGTGCATACATTGTGGTTGGATTTTATTTAGAATTATTTTATTTTGTGGGTGGTTTGTGTTCTATGTAGTATATATTTTTGGAAGTTGGTTATGGCTGGTTTTACCATTTATACTTGTGACTTGTGACTGGATTGGGTTTTGATTTATTTATTTGTGAGCTATCGTCACATTTATTCTTTGTGATTTTGGGTTTATGTTTAGGCTTTCGTGTGCCTTGGGCTAAGTCCTTGTGGGCCACGACCGATCATGCCTGGATTTGGGGTGTGACAAATGTGGTCTATAGAATTAAGGCAGGGGTGTCTTAAGTGAAGGATTGCGTCTGGGAGACAGTGTGATAAACGAGTACTCACTAGCCTAAAAGGAAAGTTCCATAGAACGACTATTAAACCAGTGATGTTGTATGAGATGGAATACCAGGCAACTAAGAATCAACATGTAGATAAGATGAGTGTTATTGAGATGAGGATGCTAAGGTGGATGTGTGGCAAGATTAGAAAAGACAAGAGTTAGGAATGAGTATATTCGTGAATGGGTAGGAATAGCACCGATAGAAGATAAGTTGAGAGAGAATAGATTGAGATGGTTTGGTCATATACAATGGAGACCAATAGAGGCAATAGTAAGAGATACAATACAGTGACGGTAGATAGAAGTGTTAGGTGAAGAGGCAATCCTAGATTGATGTGGGCTAGTGTAGTAAATAGAGATATTAATCTTTTTAATTTGTGTAACCAAATGGCCTTTGATAGAGTCGAGTGGAAAAGAAGGATTTATGTAGCCGACTTCTTTTGATGGAACTTAAAGCTTGGTTTGGTTTGGTTTGGTTATTGAGATTATATAATATTATCATAAGATTCATCAAAGTAGTAATTACTTAAATACAAATGGAAGCATTAATTAAGAATAAAAAAACAGTAGAACCGAGAGTGATTGCTCGAGGGTTTTGAAGAAATTACCAAAGATGTTTCTGTAATTTGTTTAATTAAAAGCATAAAAAATCATATAACTGAGAAATCCAATTCCTATCTAGAAATAACTTGTGAAACTGGGAAACACATACTTGGGGAGAAGTTACAGAATGCATAAGTTGATACATATTAAAACGTTATAAATGAATACGAGGAAGAAAAATTGAGAGAGCCAAGGATGCTACTTTATGAGAAGTACTTGTTTGTTTGATTCTAATGATATGAAATCATCATTGTCCTGAGTTGCATACTGATTGGATCTGTCAGTTTGATGAGAATTTGGTAATGTCATTAGTTCATGGCACATTCCATTTACATTAGAAGTGCTTTTTATATCCAACTCTTTTCCAGCTACTACTGTGTTCTTCATGTTGCGCATCTATAACATAGCATAATCTTTAGGGGATCTGGACCCTTTTGACGAGGTTGTAAGACTTGGGCAAACAAACGAAATGCAGATAAAATTTGGTTGAACCCGAGGGTTGCCTATGTATTCCTTTACAAAGGATCAAACCAGTGTAGTTCAGGGGTAGAATGCAAATGCTATGCTCAAAACATATTCGGAAAGTTGGGCTTGCGCAGTGCGTGCTGCCATGATTTGATAATTGGGCTTACATGTACTACACTGCTAGAGTTTTGAAAAATTTAATGATGTGAACGCCACGTAAGGTGACGAGGTGGAACAAAGATAAAACTACAAAGATGGCAAAAGAAAGAGGAGGACCTCATGCAAATGACACCAAGCAAGCTAACAACTGCAGAGAATATAAAGGACAATGCACAACACACACAAGCATGCTCTATCTGAGCAAAAAATGTGAGAAACCCACACGTGTTGCAGCACAAGAGGGAAAGAAAAAAGGATGGTTGTAACCAAAGTCGCATATGATTGACAATCATATCAACAAGGAACTTCACAACACACTCCAACATGCCCTAGCATGAAAGGAGAAACAATGGTGTTAACTGCCAACCCGCACAGGGGACGGTATTAATTGAGGATAACTGAGGGTGGTGTTAACTGCCACCCTGAACAAGGGGCAGTATTAACCGAGGGTGGTGTTAACTGCCAACCCGCACAGGGGTGGTATTGACCGAGGGCAGTGTTAACCGCCAACCCACGCACAGGGCGGTATTAACCGAGAGCAGTGTTAACGGCCAACCCACGTAGGGGTGGTATTAACTGAGGTTTGTGTTAACCACCAACCCACACAGGAGGTAGTCTTAACCGAAGGTGGTGTTAACCGTCAACCCGCACAGGGGGCAATATTAAACGAGGGCGGTGTTAATCGCCAACCCGTGTAGGGGGCAATATTAACCGAGGTTGGTGTTAACCGCCAACCCTCGCATAGTGCGATATTAACCAAGGTTGGTGTTAATCACCAACTCACGCAAGGGGTGGTATTAATCGAGGGTGGTGTTAACCGCCAACCCGTGCTGGGGCGGTATTAACTGAGGGTGGTGTTAACCGCCAACCCACGCAAGGGGCAGTATTAATCGAGGGTGGTGTTAACCGCCAACCCACGCAAGGGGTGGTATTAATTAAGGGTAGTATTAATCGCCAACCAATGTAAGGGATAATATTAACCGAGAGTGGTGTTAACTGCCAATCCAGAAAGGTGGTATTAACCGAAGGTTCACACTTCACACGCTTTGCACGTGTAGAGAGTGATTACGACAATAGAAACATCACGCCACTAAGGAAAATGCAGGAAAAACACAACAAAATAGGGTCAAACCTTCCTTTTTGCTGGTGCCACTGAACAACCATATACCTTAGAATATGACAGAGATGTCAACTATGCACCATTGCGTAACTACTGCATACTTCTGAGCACCTTTATTCCAACATACTAGTAATGACGATTTGGCCAGCTGGAAAACTGCCCAGCCAAATTAGGAAGTGGTCGGCCAGCCCTATTGGGCAATTGCAGCGTCAAAACTGTCTTTTCACGATTTTGAAAGCTATAAAAAGGAGCGACTGTCCAACTTCCATTCATTTCCATCCGAAACCACCTTTCCAGCTCTCTGAACTTTTTTTTTTTTTTTCGATCACTACTCCTAGCTGATGACGATTTCCTCCAATTTCCTTCCAACTCTCCATTCGGATTCAACGAACCGAACACACTAGAGAACAGTGATACTTCTTTTGGGAACATGGTGGCAAAAGCTCTTACTGTGGCCATCACTAACAACATTGATCTGGAGCTTGCTTACATCGTGACACGTGAGAAGATATGATTTAGGATAGCCCCACGGGGGTGCCATTAGTAGCAGGCAGGTAGTGGCTGATGAGCCTGTACAGACTTGGGCTCATGGGCGAGGACGTTATTATGGTCCAGGATAGGCTCCCCATGAGTGACACGGTATGGGAATCCAAGGTCAACGAGGATATGGACATGACCCTTTGTCACTGGGTTCACTGCCTCCACATCTTTCAGATATTCATTATGAGGTTAGTCACCTAAAACTGATCATTTTCTCCGAATGGTTGTATACAACATTTTCCACCTTCTGACTCACACTTCCTCTTTTGCAGGATGTGGTTGCCTTTCCTGAGGTGATTGTTATCAGCAGTGATGATGATGAGGCAGATGACGAGCTAATTGGGCCCCCAGATGATTCTTCTGCTAGCAGCAGTATCTTCGGTAGCGGGACTAGTGGTGTCGATGATGGATCCGGTGGAGCTGGCATTCCGCTGCCTCTTGGGGCGATTACTCTGGCTACTTAGTTTACATTCCATTTTTTCTTCTTTTTATATAGCCTGTAGGAACTTCAAATGTAATTATCCCCAATTCCAAGGGAACTTTTTGTAACTGCCATTTGTAAACAACTTTTCGCCATTCATGGCCCATATATATAACTATCTTTTTCTTATGGATGATTTCTAATTGTTTACTCCACTTCACATCTGAGTGTTTATGCACACGTCTGAACACCCTTTTTGCTCCCAAATTCCGTGAATACCTTCCTGCTTCTGTTCTGATGCTCTGAAACTCATCAAATGAATTGGAGCAGCTTTTCTATGTCTCACCGGCTGTTACCTAGACTGGCCGACAAAACATGATTTCGGCCAGTCTATTCAGGCAATTCCCAAGGTTGTCTTGACTTTTTAACTTCTGACAGCTTGTAAAAATGTCGTACTTCAACTGCAAACTATTTTCAACCACCCGAAGTTGCTGTTTATATGGCCTTATGTGTATTCTCTTACTTCAAATGGCTCACAACACTTCTCTCCTTCTCTCTCCCGGTGTTCCTTAGGATATGGACCTCCCTCACTATCTAGACTTCGTTGGTTCGTTTGATGAAAACTCTGGGGATGTCGTGGTTCTTGACTTGGAGGTAATACGTTCAATAACTCCTTTCAGCGGCCGTGGTAGTAGGAGGAGACTTATTCGTAGAAGGAGAGAGGAGCCGTGGGCGGTTTTGGAGGAGCCTACTGTCGACAATGAGAGAAGAGTTCATAGCCGCAGAGAGACTTACAGCCGATCTTTGAGCTATGCTCATGTTTGTGGCCATTTTTATGAACTCGGCCCAACGCCGGTTCATAGGTACAATCAAAGTGCCTTACCCATAGGATCTTTATCTCCTCATCCTACCAACTTCCTAGAGGTAAATACTCTAAATTTGTAGCTCATTTTCCATTTTGCACCGTCGCTCTCCACTTCTTCCTTCAATAACATGGCTCTTTTGGTTCTAGGATGAAAGCTTGGAATTGCTTTGACCGGCCACTCTGGATTCTCCGATGGTAAGTAGCGATGATGGAGATGACATGAAAACTGCCTTTGATGTCGAGGGAAACTCTAGTGATCATGTTGATTCTAGTAATGATCGTAATGCACCGGGAAACCTTTCAAATCTCCTGCATCATTGTAGCCTTTCTCCTGCAACTTAGGCCAACTTTGGGCATGACTCTTTCTTCATTTTTCTCTTTGGAGAACAAAAGGGAACACCATCACGTACATAAGGCCTTCGGTGCATATAAGCTAATAATGTTTAGGACTTGTATGTCCTAGAATTACCCTCTTGTGAAATATGGTTTTCTTGTAATGACTAGGACCTTCTCTTTAGTTGAAAATCTTTTGTAACCCTCTCTTGTTTGATAGAAGTCTTCTTACGCATCAATCGACTTCCTTTGTTTGTGTGGCTAGGTTTTCAAGGCACATATGGACATGTTAACTCTACACTGAGCTTGATTGGCATCGATTCTTCCTCCCAGTCACAAACACAGCTCATTTGGACAAAAATAGGACTCTGCCTGTACAAAAGACCCATGCTGGCCACTTATTGGCTGCTGGTCAAAAAAGTGACTAGCTAAATCTATGATGGATCGTCCGACTATTTTGGGTTGTCTAAAGTCAGTTTTGACCTTTCATCTCCAAAAAAATTTATAAATACAAACCAACGGTTTCCTTCATTCCTACACCTTTCGAAACACACTTCTCTTCTTCCCTACTCCCCCTCTCTCTCTATAGATTTTCTCACTCCCTCGCATTACCTAATGATCCACGCTCGTTTTCCTTCGAAACCACCACTGCCCTCTACACTTTGAACCGATTGGTTTGTGATTTGATTGAGTTTGGTTTTCTTCCCTTACACACGTCTTGGTCTAGCTTCTCGTTTATTTCCTTTGTTTCTCTCTTCCCTCTTTGTTTTTCAAGTTTTCGGGTGACCTAGGTTGTACTTTTAGGATTTCTTGCTCTCTCTCTCTCATTTTCAGTTCACTCACACCTATTCCTTTTAATGGACGTTGATATTCCTTACGGAGACGCTCCTCCCGCCGTCCCGGAGGTTGATATGCCTTTCTCGAGGTTGTCATATCTTGAACATTCGGAGTTTCGTAACGTATTTAGTCATCTTGGGAAAATTATCCAGAAAACTTATCATATCGAACGTAATCATCATTCCTTAATTTGTAACGTAATATATCAGAAAATAAAACATTGCTTGTCATATCATGTCATTGTCGTGCGCTTAACAAAATAGAATAATTCACTTCTTATATAGGTCACTGTAGACATAACTTTCTCTTGTAGCCAGTTATACGTAACATGATTCAACTGTTATACAAAACACAATTTATCAAAGTACGCATCACAATAACTTTCCAAATCATAGGTCCAAACAGTACCACGACAAGGAAGACATAACTATATCATAATTAAAAAAAAAATTCCATACGTCGCATTTAAGCAATTCATCTAAATAAATGATAAGCAACTATCAGTTCAAAAATAACAACCAAAGACGTTAATTCCTTAGGTCCAGTCCATGGTCAACTTATACAAGGTTATACTTGCCAGAAGTATCGAATGTAATTGTTGGTATGACATCTCGAACTAACACGGATCACATAAGTTTCATTCTAATGACCACTCA